AAAAAAAAAAGGACGGCCAACCTTCAAGCAGTATGTTCCTTGCATCAAGAGGGTCTGTTGGAATAAGCAAGACCTGAGATGTAGAGAGAGAAGAGTTTAAAGAATTGGTAATACATGATACTTGATCAAACATTATAGTCATTAAACAAGGTTCAAAAACCTTTAGCCTCTCTTCAAGCTCTTTAATTTGTTTGGTCAAGCTTTTAATTTCGGAAGCAATCATCTCCACCATATCCTCATCATTACCTGCCTCTTTTGCTAGAGCTGAATTGTAGGCAAGACAAAATCAGTCAATACAGAAAGGTAAAAGTGGGATGAGAAATGCCGGCATTCACCGCCATTTCCTCATTTCTTGCATAGATTGTAAAAAGAACAAATAACTAGCAGATGGAACAAACCTTTCGCTTCTTCTAATTGCTTCTCACAATCCTTGAAGCTCCTAAAGGTTGAAACGACCTACAAATTGGAAGATCACTATGAATGGGCTGAAAGACAATGCTCATACCAAAGGAGGAGAAAAACAGTATATGGAAAACAGAGTAGTGAATTTTCAAATAGACGTACCTCATCAAGCTCCGCCAAAGACACTGCTAACTTCTGATACTCACTTGGATTTGAGACTACATCCGGATCAGCCAGTTTGACCTAGAGTTTGGGGTTGGTGGTATCCAAATCATCAAAAAATTTCAAAAGTTATAGGCGACATATCAGTGGCTTGTATTTGGAAATTATTACTGATTTCTATAACTACTTCCGAAATGAACATACTAATAACACAAATACAACATCGAAAGAGTTTCATTCAGTGATATCTACTGTCCTATTTATCTTCCATATATCTAAATAAGAACTAGGAAAATATTTTCAAAATAAGCATAAGCCTAAAAAATACATTAACACCAAATCCACGAGCTACAAAGCAAGAGCACAAAAAGCTAATTGCACACCGCAACAACGCACAGCAAGAAACAAACACACCAGGTTCGTACCGATAATTCTTTCCACGTTTTCTCAGCAGACTCCAATTTCGTAATTAGATACGGTTCCTGCTTTTCCACCAAA